AGGCAAAGCCAGAAAAAAGGTGAAAGTAACTTCATTTTAGGGTTTACCCTGATCATCGATTAACACTTGTTAGAATATGCATTAACTTTATTTTCGAACTGGCACGTCTTTCATTAAGTAAGAGACGGGTTAGTTGTTCGATGAAAATTAAACTTGTAAATTGCTTCGATAAAGCCCCACACCACAGCAGATCTAATTAAGCTTCTCCAAAGATTGTTTCCGACCTGGAGTTCGCAAATGGGTTAGGCCGTCGTGGCGTGTCGTGTTGGTGTGATGGAGGGGTTGTTTTCAGGGCTCGAGCCGTCCTCGACCCAGGCCTAACCTGATACAAAGGCGTAGACAGCTCTAACCCACCACCTGTGAATGATGTTCCCCACTAATTATAGAACTCTGTACTTGTAATTAACTGCACAGGAACCAGCCCAACCGTCACATCAGTCCGTCACTAACTTGGCTGACAATCTCGGTTTTTGCCATTATCATGCAAATACGGGCAACCTTCATCTCTCTCCTTGGATATAACAAAAAACGGGGATTATAATTGCCTTGAATAAATTATGCAATTTACGACCTTTCCAGTTTTAATTGCCGAGGTTTTCGTAATTGTTCGGCCCGACGCTGAATCATCATTCGCGGAAATTACTTTTTGTGAGGTTCGACCATCCACCCGCTAGAGATGCGGTTAGCTATGTTAAATTCTTTTTAAACACTGTTTATTTTCGTTTATTTGTGAGTAAAAAAAGTGGTCGATACATCCAACTCTTTAAATATGAAAAATTATTAGCAAAGTATCAAGTCAAAATATCACAATAGTCGGTGAAAATGAGTACAAAATTTCCAAAATGCATAACAACCGAGCAATATCTTACCGATGAAAGGAATTTTGTGTTGTGAACAAGCAGACAAAATTGCCAGAGGAGGATCTGCAAGACCAATTAGAGGACCGGAACCTGGGTAAACAAGGTCAAATGTAGTCGCCTTCATCTCAGAATGTGTCCACAAACAAAAGAGATGGATAAACTCTAGTGATTCCAGTAAACACTTGGTTAAAGAACCTGCACCATAACCGGCAAATACAATCCTACATTTAGGCAGAAGAAAACTTAGGAAAATAACAGGTATATAGAATTTGGCATTGAACGATGACCCCATTTGGAAAGTATGGAAGCAATTGCCATTCTTATTACCTTGCAATAAGTATATAAAGTGCAAAGGAACTCCTCAGTAGAGACCTAACCTACTACTACTAAGATGGGGTACTAAGATGACCCGAGAAAAACAATTGCAGCGATGACTATCAATGACCTTCTACTTCAGAAAGAGAAAAATGGAAACAATTGAACTGACCTGAAGAACTAGGAAACCGCAATAAGCCAAAACATCGTGCTTAGGTAATACTGAAAACTTATTCACTCAACAACAACTCCTCATCTCAGAACGAGTACATTCAAAATAAAATGAATGATAGGTGTCAGACGTAGTAAACCCTTGGTTAAAGAACCCTAACCAAAACATCTATAGCGGTTATTGGCATCTAAGAAAGCACCAACACAACATGGGTATATTTAATAACACCAGCAGGGTTTGTAGATTTTGGAATGATTACATTATCTCCCAGTTATATCTCCGACAAATGTAAAGGAACATCTCACTGGAGGAATAACCTAGAGTACAAGATGGCAGCAATGACAGTCAATGACCTACTATCCTACTCAAAATAAGCATCGTGTCAATTAAACTGAACTAAGGAACTATTAAAATAAGCGAAGAGTTTGGGAATACCAAAATGTATTGAGAATACCAAACTGCCGCTTCCTAGTGCCCTCAATAACAAGATACCTACTACCAAAAACGAAAATCACACTTACATTTTTTTGGGATCGCAAATATGCTAACTTGTCAGAACGTGACCAGCAGATCATAGTGATAGATTACCTACCAGCAAGATTTATTTCACCAGTAAAAATATCTAGATCGATCTCAAATAGTGCATTGCTAAAATAAAAACATGCTCCGAAATAAATTAAAAAGCAAGATGATATTTGATTAGACAGGCAAATCAGTCCCAGCAGAAAGATCCATGTTCGACTTCTCTATAAATTTAAATTTAGAATATTTTTTAATTAAGTTTTCTTTTTGTTTACTTTTTTTAATTATGTTAATATTTAATTATTTATTTATACGTTTATAAAACATTTTAAACTTATGTGTGGTGATTAGTGACCGTTAATCGATATTTATTTAGAAATCGTGAGATGCGATCTGTTGTGATGTAGGTTTCAGAAAAACATTTTCTTTATCGTGCCAACGTTTCGATCTTTATTGAAATCATCTTCAGGGCTCAAAGTGTTTGCCTTCTGTGTAATTGTGCCATTCTCACACTCACTGGGGCACTCTCAATACGACACGCAAGAATGGCACAATTACACAGAAGACAAACACTTTGAGCCCTGAAGATGATTTCAATAAAGATCGAAACGTTGGCACGATAAAGAAAATGTTTTTGAAACCTACATCACATCAGACCGCATCTCACGATCTCTAAATAGAAATTTTAAATATATATATGTATATATAAACACACACACACACACACACACAGGGTTGCCCCAATCGATTCAGCCACACTTCCAGATCTTATAGGAAATTGACCGCTGAGTAAAAAAGGTCCTATGAACCTGTGTCCGCAAACCCTTCAGTTCCAAGCTACAGGCAAAAAACCAAGAAAAACCACGTTTTTTTACCTTATTCGTGAAATTGTTAGTAAACCGTTAGCATGACTGTAAAACAGCTCGAAATAACATCTGTAGAGGATTAATTTCAGCGTCGAATGAGATTAAGCCCACTCTGATCGGCCGAAAATTTCATTTTGGGCGATTTTTCCAAGTTAGGGTGAAGGGGTACACAAAATTCACCATTTCTGACATATTAATCGAAAATTCACGACTTGAACACCCTATCAAAAAATTCTCAATACATTTTATTTATTGTAAAAAACCATTACAATAGCTTGAGCGAAAAATAGCGACAATTTTCTTTGTAATGTTTGTAACGGAGAATTTTTTGATAGGGTGTTCAAGTTGTGAATTTTCGATTTTGAAAATGTGAATTTTGATTAAATTTTCGGCCGATCAGGCTGATTTTACTCTCATTCGACGCAGAAATTAATCCTCTACAGTTGTTTCGAGCTGTTTTACGCTCAGGCTAACGGTTTACTAACAATTTCACGAATAAGGTCAAAAAATGTGGTTTTTTGCCTGTAGCTCGGAACTGAAGGGTTTGCGGACACAGGTTCAGAGAACCTTTTTTACTCAGCGTTCAATTTCCTATACGATCTGGAAGTGAGGCTGAATCGATTGGGGCCACCCTGTGTATATATATACATGTTTAAAATATTTTATAAACGTATAAATAATTAAAAATTAACATAATTATTGGTTAATTTGTCATAAGGTCATAAGATAGAACATTTGAAATATCATGGTCTATTGTGTAAATTATAACCTTCAGTTTCATGAAACTCGGAATAAATTTACTTTTATTAATTGTTAACTTTTTTTAATATATATTTGATGGTGTTTTTGTATTTTAATTCATAACAGCTCGAGAGGGAGAGTGGACAAGCGGGCAGCACCCTTAAATCGATATTCTTTTAAAAAATAAAAATTTTATGAAAAGTGTGTTTTTGGTCGTTTCCGGCTGTGGAGTAGAGGGAGGACAAGATATATTTTTTTTTCTTTTTTTGAGGGTTCGCAACAGCAGAGGTCATATAAACCCTCAGTGTGCCGGTGTTTTTGAAAAAAAAGCCCATTTGTAAGTATGTCGGGTTCAAATGCAGGACCGCTGGGTTCGAACCCGGGACCTTTACCTTACAGTGATGAGTGCCGGTCAACGCCTAAACCGTTGCTGCCACCGACGGCCCCTTAAATTTTCTTTATTAAAATAAATTATATACGGGCGTGATCATCGTGATCGTTCTTGTTTTATTTCCGATAGAAGTTATTGAATTTGGCCGGTTGATACGAACGTAAATGAATCCTTTGTATTCGGTAGTTCTCATCTCATCTGGCGAAGCCTATCTTCTCTTTATTGTCTAATCAATCATGTTTCCACTTCGCACCATAATCATTGACGTTTCATCAAGGCTGAATGGATTACAATCAGCTCCGAAGCCTTCCCACCTTTTCTGTTTGCGCTTATCATTTTATTGCGAATACACATTCACATATGAAACTGTATAAATATACTTTATTCTTTTAATAAAATGGAGAATTATCTCATTCAGTGTAAACTCACCTTTTACATTCGTTATGTTAGAAGTGATAAGTTTTCATATTGTAAGTAGATGTTTATATTTGTTAACCTTGTAAATTAGTAATAATAGTTTTAAAATTCTGATGATGGGATTTCTTATAAGCATGACGTAACTGAGAATTTTCTTTTCTTTCAAACTGACCTTACACTTGATTTTTTAGCGTAATATTAAAATTTATGGAGAATTATAAATATTAAAATTTTGTCTGGTTCATCACCGCTGCTAGTAGAATCCGATCAGGTTTTTTTTTAGCGTGATAATTATTATTTAACTATACTCAACGGCCGTTAACTGGCTAAATAGAAAGTCAATATAAAGCCCCTTGAGATGAATTGTCTACAGTATATTGTAGTCGGCTTATTCGTTTTTATCTTCTTTTCTATCCCGTTTTACATAAACGAAGCAATTCTGGTTGAAGTGCTCGGAATTAACATGTCTGAATGAGAAATTTCCTCCTTGGGATATCACTAAGAGGCAGGATTTCTCAACAAAGGGAAAGAAGAGACGCCTCCTAATGGTCTCGAAGAACCCTTTCCCAAACACTTCCTGCAAGAGACGTAAAAACGGCTTAATGGAAAGCTTTATGCTCAACTTCACTTCCGGTCTTTTTGATAATATACTCTCATTTACCATGCAATGCAGCGTAACAGTTTACCTCTAAAACGTTTGTTTGTTTTGTTTTCAGGCGTTGTTGCAATCGCACGATGTGGTCGCGCACGAAATTTACGGGGAAGACGCGATCCGTGTCACACCGGCGCCGCTTCCTTATTTGAACGGCGATGACGACGACTTGGAAGCACCGAACGGCGACTTAGAACTCGAACATGTCACGAGGGTCCGCCTCGTTCAGTTCCAGAAAAACACTGATGAACCTATGGTAAGTAAAGTAACAGTCATCAATATCTGATTTTTACATTCCTTGATCCATGTTTGCGCTGCTCCACAAAAAAAGTGGCGCATTATGAAAAATGATTTTTTGATTTCTTTTTTTAATTTGACAAAGGGTTGGACGTATTTTTTGTTTTTCTACTTTAAAAATGTTAAAAATTTAATAATTGTAATTAGATGGAAAGTATTGGGTTGTCCGGAAAATAATGCAGGATTTTGGTATTAAACAAAAAAAAGAAACTAGTTACTTTAAAGCAATGTTCTTTAATCAAAATAATTTCCCATACTCTCAATACATTTCTCCCAACGTGTTGGTAACTTATTTTTAGAATTGATAAAGTCAATAAATGCATTTTCCAGTTCCGTTTGATTTTTGAATATTATGTGTTGTAAGTAGTGGTCCAGGTGTCTAAAAAAATGGTAGTCAGTAGGCGAGAGGTCCGGAGAGTAGGGTGGGTGAGGCAAAGTTTCATAGCCAAGCTCCAATAATTTTTGTGACGTTACACGTGACACATGTGGTCGAGCGTTGTCATGCAACAAAATGGGCCCTTTCCGATTGACCAAAGAGGGCTTCATTACTGCCAATTTCTGATGCATGGTATTAATTTGGTTACAGTATGATTCAGCATTGATGGTTTCGCCAGGATTTAAGAAGCTGTAGTGTATTAAACCAAATGAAGCCCACCATACCGTAACCATTACCTTTTTTTGATGAGTTGGGGGCTTTGGAAAATGTATTGGAGCTTCTCCTTTGTCGAGCCACTGTCCAGAACGTCTAGTGTTATCGTAGAGAATCCACTTTTCGTCACATGTAACAATTCTGGCCAGAAATGGGTCATTTTTGTTTCGACAAAGAAGTGATGCACAAACATCAAAGCGCTGATTTTTTTGGCGATCGTTTAATGAGTGTGGAACCCAATTTTCGAGTTTTTTCACTTTTCCAATCGCCTTGAGGTGGTCAGCGACGGTCGTTTTACTGACTTTGAGTTGCTCTGCAAGTTCTCGAACAGTTGTTTTGGGGTTTTCTTCCACCACTGATCGCAGAACATCATCATTAAGAGAGGAAGGCCTTCCACGACCTTCTTCATCTTCAAGGCTGAAATCTCCCTCCCGAAATTTTTTAAACCACCTTTGCACAGTGCACTCATTAACACAACCCTCGCCCCAGACTTGGTTAATGTTTCTAGCCGTTTGGGCTCCGCTTCGGCCGAGTTTAAACTCGTAAAAGAAAATCGTACGAAATTCTCGCTTTGACATTATAAGGATGACTGAATTATTTCCAAGTAGCGGAATGCTACAGAGGTAAACAAACAATATCATTTGGAAGAGGATTAATAAGTGTTGACATTCATACAAATGAGTAATCCTGTAAACGTAAACAGAATATTTTATATAGATTTTTTTTAATGAAAACTTAAAATCCTGCATTATTTTCCGGACAACCCAATATTTGTTTTGCTTCTTTGAGGTGAAAGGAGCCGACAATGGGAAAAATGGGTAATGGTTCAGCCTGATTATCCTTTCAGGATTATATAGACACCACACAAAACATATAATATAACATATAAAACTATCATTACATTCCACTCATCAAACATTTCTACATAGTCTAATTCTTCAACAATTTGGGTTTGTTTTCCCTAATTATCCCGTCTATGTAATCCTGAAAGGAAATCAGGCCGAACCATTACCCATTTTTTCCCCATTGTCGGCTCCTTTCACCTCGAAGAAGACAACACATATAAAAATGTTTTTCTTTCCCGACTTCCTTCCCCACACCTTCAAAATCCAACATGTATAATCATAAAACATCAATATCTCACACTCTCAACATGACACACAAGAATAACACATCTACACAGAAAACAAGCACTTTGAATGAGTACAAATAATTTGATTGAATATAAAATGTCTAGCATTGTAAAAATTCATTTTTTTCCACATCCTACATGTATTTGTAAAATTTGAACAATGTTTATAAATCCCAGGCCCTGAAGATGATCTCAATAAAGATCGAAACTTGGGCACGATAAAGAACATGTTTTTCTAAAACCTACGTCACACCAGACCGCATCTCACGAAATCCAAATAATCATTAACTAACGGTCACTAAACACTACAGATTGGACAGAAACTGTAATTAAGGATTAGGAAAGTTACGTTAGTTGAGATTTGGGATGAATTTCCTCAAGAAGTGGTTAAAGGTTGTAACCTTTTTGGTAACTTGCCGACTGACGCTCAGTGGAGAAGGGGGGATTCCTGGGGAACCAATACTGCAGTCGGGCGCCACACTATTTGATCCAGGGAAAATAGTGAATCCCAAAAAAAGGGGAAAAAAGAAAGGAAAAGTAAGAAAAATTCCACGCACTGAAAATGACCTCAAACGCACTCGAACCGCGGACCTTCTAGTCGAATGCGATTCCCCTGCTCTACGAGCTGCCCTGTTAGTATCTGACTGTTTACCTTATTCAATCATTAAAGTCAATAGACCGACATTCGCCAGGGGTCGAAAAAAATTGAAACAAATCAACTAGAATGAAAATAAATAAGTAATAAAAAGTGAAACAATCTGAATTTAGACGAAACAAAATTCTATTAATTACAATAGAATGATTACGCCTCGCAAACGAAATTAAATTCACAATAATTGGAGTATCCTCTCAAAAAAAAAAGAAATTCTTAACAAAAAAAAACACTTTCTACGGGTTTAAAACAAAAAAACTAACTGTCTCCACACGTTGGACTTCGCCGGAGCGCCTCGTCTCGACGTCTGTCCTCCTAGCTCCTGCCCGGATGCGTATCAGGTTCCCGGAGGAGAAGGGTCGTTTCCCACACTGGAAAAAGAAAAGGATGTCCCTCGTTCCTCCGGTTTTCCTCCTTTTTTGCCAGTTTTTCGTCTCGTCTCTCACCGCTCCCTCGCCTTGCCTGCTTCCGCCTCCCTTCTCCCGTCCGCCCCCACCAGTCCGACGCCGTGTTCGCCCGGCCTCCGCCGTCTCAGTTTCCGATCCAGGCATCCAACCATACTGCACGTCTTCCGTCCTTCTCTCCTAGGTCGGCAACGGCAAGAGGTACCCCTTACAAAAAAAAATTGGAATTTTTCCGACCTCTAACGTCGAAAATGATTTCTTTTTCTAAAATTTTGACCGGAAGTCCCGAAATCGGGGAGGTGAACAGTCAGGGCGTAACAAGGTTATGAGCATGCTGAGAAGATCATAGGGTGTAAGAGGAGGTATACAACCTGTTTTATAATGTTTTATGTTTATATGCAAAAGTGATTTTTCCTTTTTTATTTCTTATTTATTTATTGTTTTTTGTTGTAGAGATATTTTTATTTTCACACTAACCAAATATTTTAATAAATACCTGAATTATAAAAAAATATCTGTGTGTGGCGGCTCCATACATGCGGTATTCGCCGAATGGCGCGCAAATTTTCGCCGAATCCCGACTAGTGTGGATGGACGCTCGGCTATTCGCCGAATAACATCCGGTGCTCGCCGTGCTCGGTTTTTTGTCAGATTTCTTGTCCGCTTCAAATGGCACGAATATTCGTGAAGTAACCGCACTCAAACCATCCACACATTCGGGAATCAACTAAAACTGTGCATACCTTTAACCTACTGTCAACTGTTATCAAAATCAACAGTAAGCGTACACTTCTATTTAATACTATTTATTTTTCATTAATAAACGATTTCTAAGACTCCCACGGCATTTGGAAAATACGTATTCCCTGTTTCCGCAACAACTAGGAGGTTATAAAACCCGCATATGTGTATAAGTAGGCAGGCTATTTCGCGAATGCCAAGACGAGCATCTAGAGACTTGGAAACTATTCGGCGGCATTCGGCGAATACCGCATGTATGGAGCTGCCTTTACTGAAAAGACAAGCCCATAAAAAAAATCAAAATTTCAATGTGCGCCACTATTTTTTCTGGAGCAGTGTATATTCCAAAATGTCTCGTCTAGATAAAGTAAATGTTTAGTAACCCATTCCAAAAATTTCTTCTATTCGAAACTTTATCATCCGATAGGATAGGAACGTCCAGTGCAGTTGGCGAGCCGCAATCCGCCGGGCCAAAATATACAGAGAAATGTGCCTTTCAGGACTATCAAGGAGGTCCAACCGGACGACAAATGTTCACCACGACTTCACGATTTATTTGAGAAAACATTTTAGTTTTCGATCCAAACGGAAATGCATCAATTTTCCGCCAGTCCGGCCAAGAAGCTCGGAGATAAATATGATTGATGATGTTCACAACTCGTAAATTCACATCAAAGGAATAGAATGAATTTAAATTCCCGGATAGAATTTTTAATGGAAGAAGGGAAAGTCGACTTTTTCAATGTATGATAGTCGATTAGCGCTGAAGAAGATAAATCCTTTCTGAGACTGACTAAAGAAACCGGGCTTGGATGGACCTGATCGATAATCGCAGTTAACTTATTCTATCCCAAGCAGCCGACATCAAGATTTCTTCCTATTAGCTCGCTTACTTTATTTAACATGGCCCTTGTTTTAAGATGGCCCATTTTCCTTCAAATTATTCGAGCCATCCTGAATTTGTCCTGTTCTCAAGAAATCACATTAAAACTTCAGAAAGCCCATCTTGGCGATAAACATTCAATCGAAAACACCAATTTATTTGTTTAAACTAATATATATAAGAGACATTTGCTTTTGCCTTCGCTTCAAAGTTTGGCATTATCGTTAAATAAATTTGTGGCACAGCCTTAAGTGATGCTTCTCAACGTTCGATACAACATTTTCCCATGCTTTCACATCTTCCTTATTTCACTGGAAGGTTGTTGTTCTGCTGAGGCTGTTATCTCCTCCCCGAAATCTTCTCCACAACTCCTTGCAGGGACACAGAATACAGCTCCATAAGCTCTTCGGTGGTCATTTCCTGGCTATGCTCCCCACTAGTTCATCGATGTCGTTGCTTTCCACCTCTAGCCCCCATAATCTTGGCCAGAGATACAATCTTGTCGATTACAGGCTCCGCCGGCACTTGCTCAAACCTCTCAGAGTCGCAACGCTGTCCGGCCAAAGCTTCTTCCGTGCAGAAAAAAAGTGTTCTCTTGGTGACCCCCTCCCATGCCTTGTCGATCACCTTGAGGCAGACAAAGTTGTAAAATTGGTCTTTCCAAAATTCTCCGAGAGTGAGATTGGTTCCTACAGTTATCTCAAAACAACGCTCGAAGAGAGGTTTAGTGTAGAGCTTTTTAAAATTTGAAATGACCTGCTGGTTCATGGGCTGCAGTAAAGCCGAGAGCAGGCAGGATGTCTCCTTCTGCGTCACTCGCTCTGCGAAACATCGCTTGTTAAGGGAGCCATTTTTTTACATTTCGTTTTGCTCGTTATTGGAGGTGCTCGTTAAGCGAGGTTCGACTGTACTTTGTATTCATTTCATTATTTTTTAATAGAATATTCGACATCTTAATGACTTTTTTTAAAATCATTTGTAACCGAAAAATCCAATTTTAGCTATTAAACTTCAATTTTACACAAGTAATAACTGATCTTTGAAAAATTAATTACATGTGTTTAAAGCTCATAAGTAGATAAGTAGAGGCAACATTTCTGTAAGCACCATATCTGTCTATAAATTTTCTAAATGATATTGTTAAAATTATCCGCCCATACCATAAAACAAGAACTTCTCAGTATCCATGAATGAAGCCCTGTACCTTTCAAGGCTGCACCTGGATTACACCGAGAGTCAATTTTCTGCCTTATACCGTTTTGCATTCATTGTCTCATTAATTATATCAGATGTATTGCTAAAAATCTTAATCACGGGATAAATTATATTTACTGGTGTGCAAAAGGTAGCTGAAGCTTACAATCAATGAAGAAAAAACAACTTACAACTAATAAAAAATAAATTCTTAAGACTAGCTTCATCTGCTCCTCGATACACGAAAGTGAAACCTTCGTTTCCAGAAGTATCCTAATTGAATAGATAAAATAATAAAAATACTAGAAAAATATTTTACCAACGTGAACCAACAACTCAAATCCCCTTTATAGAAATATTTGGAGCATTTGATACTATATCCCTACAAACCACAAAAGGCTAAAATACTTACTTAATAGGAAAATAATTAGCATATAAAGCATGCCTAATCTAATATAAAATACATAACTAAAATCTATGATATATGATCACATTGTAACTTGTGATAAAATTAATACGGTATAATTTAATTATTAAACCTTAAAATTTGTTATTTCGTCCTGTTTTATCCTTCATTTTTATTTTCTCCACCGTCAGCAGTGTTCGTCATTAATATCAAATAAAGTACTGCTTAGGAATGTTAGTCTTGTTGCTGTTTTATTACTATTAGTCTAAAATCCCTTCTAAACTGCGTCCTTTGTGGTCTTAGTAAACAAAAAACAAACATAAAATTGCAGGGTTTTTTAATTTTTTTTTTTTTTTGTTTGATGGAGTTACAGACATCCTTTCGAAAAACTTATTAAACTCCAATTAGGGGTTTGTAAGAGAAAAGGGGCAAGACCAATAACCCTATGTCCAACTTTTCCTCAATAAGCAATCAATTTCAATTAAAACTAAGGCTCGAGAGCGGGAGCCAATCTTTATGCTAATTTAATAGTCACATTTTAATTAAAACACAACTGCAAGCTGGGGTTAATTCTAAGGCCGGCTTTGGTAGACTAATTTCTGCAAAAAAAAATGTATTACCTACTGGCTAAAACGATTGATTTTTAAAATTCTCTAATTTTTCTTGAAGTGGCGATAAATATATTCCCCTTTGGATTCATCTTTATTTTGAAAATCCAATCTACAAAAATTCCAGTGAAATTTTTCAATTTTTTATTTTGTACTTGATCTTCTAACATGTTTCAGTTTGATTTATACCGTGCAGCCTATAAAACCATTTTTATGAAACATGCTTAACACACAGCTAGTCTGAAAGTCTTACAATTATTAAAATCTAAAAAGGAAAATTTGTGATGTTAAAAATTGGCTTTTTTTAAGTCACAAACTTTCCAATCTAATTTTAAGAGTAATTAGATTATTTTAATTATATGGCAAGCACGTTCTCTGATAACAACCATTAATATACATCATAAATAATTATATTTTGAAAACATTCCGCACAAGATATCCTATCTTGTTCCACAGACCCTTAGAACCGCGAAAACTGGAGCAAAATAATTAGTCATATGTTTTCATCCCGCCATGTTTCTTTTGAATTATAAACAACCACCTTCCTAACATTTTTTTCTGTTGGTCCAGGGCATCACATTGAAAATGAACGAAGACGGTAAGTGTATTGTGGCGAGGATCATGCACGGTGGGATGATCCATCGTCAGGCGACCCTCCACGTCGGCGACGAGATCCGGGAAATCAATGGCATACCCGTCGTCAACCAGTCTGTCAGCGCCCTGCAAAAAATACTGGTAAACATGGTTACATTTTATTTACATATAGAGTTTCATATGGACAAAAAAGTACACTTGGTTGATATAAAACTGAAAACATTTTTTAGTAAAAAAACACTGTATGATTGTTGATCTATACTTCGGTGACAACAACATATTTACACATTTAAAACATACTCAAACATCGTGCGAGAATCTTCGTTTCAAACTATGTATTTCACCGATTTATCATCACTATTTGATACGGCAAATGTTTGGATTTTTCTTGGAACTCTATATTATTTGTTTGTGTTTTGTGTGAAGTTACAACTTGGCATGGACTGGTTACAACTAACAACACTATACATCAGTTTTAGTGATAGTTCACTGGTTTTCGCGTCCGCTTGACCAATTAAAATCTTTCAATTAATTAAGGTTTTTAGTTGAGATAAAAATGGCAAAAAGGGAAAATTCAAAAGGTGGGGTTGAGATGGGAAGTTGGTCTGATTGATCTGAGAAAATTGAAAAATGTTAAACCTATAAAAGAATGGCTATGCATTTTCCCAATACCTCTAATAGCGGATTGATTATTTGAAGTATTTTGGGGAAATCGTCGATGTAAAACCTTCAGCCTCGCACACAAGATTAACATTTTGGTTTTTAATTAGAAATTATACTTAAATTTTTCAGACTGTAAAGCCATTGAAAATAAGCCGAAAGTCGCCCTGGTACGAAAGAATAACGAGATTTACACGATACCTTATAATTTGATTAAATCTACTGTTATTACTCAACTTTTCACCCTTGTTGTTTTTAGGTCAGGTGCTCCTCACAAAATTATACGAAAATATCCAAGTTTTGCTTACTGATAAATATTAATGGGAATTTTTCAACTTGTCCCGAGCCGGACGAGGGGAAAAGGTGTGCTATCTGGAATTTCATTTTCCGCAGGCTGGAGTGACCCGGTTTGTGATTGTTTTCCCTCATGGGAGCTGCTTGGATATTGCTTTGGGGTCCGCCACCTCTGCCAAAGGGAGCAGTGAGACAGACACCGCACCTCTTCCTGCTGTCAACATGTGCTGCCCGTGTTATAAGGAGTTACAAGACACATAATGTATGCCCACCCCCGACAAGCGTCCCCAAACCCAACATGTGACACAGACTTAAAAATTAATTTCCTACCATTTACCCATCAAAGGAGAAGGCCTAGTTTTTTAAACCCTAAAAATATATGCAATATAATACGAATATAATAACTTTAAATATCCATAAATTGTCGAATTGAACCTTAATCGGTCAAGTCAAGTACATCTTCCTACTTCCTGCAAAATTTCGGATGTCAGAAAGTCACCCCTGCGAAATAAAAAATGGCCCATTAACCTAAATGACTTTACAAGAAGGATAGTATCATAATTATGTGAAAAGACGTTAATGACAATTATCCAGCAATAGAAATATTGTCGGCCTTATATTAACTTGATATTTTTTTAACTTAACCGTGAAACCACTTCTTTTCACACATGTCACCCTTCACCTTGCTCTTTCCTTTTTGAAACCGAAACTTTGAAATTTGTATTCCATGTAAATATAACATTGAGCAGTAATATAGGAATACTAACTGCCTGCTTTATGCCAAAATCGGTTGAACTTAAAAAAGCTGCATACAACTAACCGACCCTTCTATCCATCACCACTAGACCTTCAATAACTTTCGTGGCAGTCCTCATCAGACATAATAACATCAGAACGGTGGTGAAAATAACGTGCATTATATTAAACCAGTAATGCTCCTGGGTCTTGCGGAAGTGTATCGCTCGGCGCCGTGCAAGTTGGCAATATTCGACAAGAAATAAGTTCATTTGCATTCTCTCCCTCACTCTCACTCTCTCACTCTCACTNCTCTCTCTCTCTCTCTCTCTCTCTCTCTCTCTCTCCCTCTCCCTCTCACTCTCTCTTCCCTTCTCTCGCTCTTTCCCCCCTCTCTCTCTCTCACTCTCTCTCTCCCTCTCTCCCTCTCTCCCTCCCTCACATACGTCAAACAACAATGCCACCCCGACAGGACCAACACCGCCGATCCAGTGTCAGTAACGCCCAAGCACCTCATTATATTTACACCCCTCCTCCTCCTGCATTCTCAGACTTAAAAATGATTTCATTCCTTGTAAGCAATGAATTCCGCTCCGAATAAGCCCCTGAGTCTCTTACTCATCACCGTAGTAGAGAAACTAGCTCCCTCCTATCAAAACCCTCCCCAAACAACCACTCCCATGGTCCTCTCAAGACAAGAGAATAGACATAGCAATACTTACGGAAACTCTCATGACTTCAACATCAAACTTTTACATGCGAAACTAAAAAACAACAGAAACGGCCATCCACTTGTACATAATACCCTTACACATTTTCTAATTCCTAGCCAACCTTCTGTATTCTGCAACACTCAGTCTTAACCTCGCCTCATCTCTCAACTTCACTATTGCCCCAGTGTACTCCTTCCAAACCAGAAAGTTTCCCAACAACAATTTTCATCCTTTTTTCGATCCCTCGGCCCCCGGTAGGCATCCCTAACCAACCTTCCTATCTGGTAGCGATTGATTGCAACACGAAGCAACAAGTGGGGCTGCAAATTGCCGAATCAATTATGTCGTGTCCTCTGTAATGTCTTCTCTTCAGATCAACTAGAACTTCTCTCACCTACTAATAAACTCCCAGAACGCCTCGATTTTTTTCATCACCTCGCTCCACCACCACGCGTACACTGATCAACCCCAGACACAGAGTAGTTAATAGATACATTAACAAAGCAGTACCTTTCCCACAATATATAGAGTTAAAAAGAATTACCGAATCGCCAGAGTATTTCATATTAGGTCTGCCCCCAGTTGCCCTATGAACATACTACTCATCAGGGAGGGAGGGAGGGAGGGAGAGAGAGAGAGAGAGAGAGAGAGAGAGAGAGAGAGAGAGAGAGTGAGTGAGAGAGAGAGAGAGATAGAGAAGATAGAAGTACTTGGAGAGAAGTATACAGATTTTTCACCTAAATTAAACTACTAAATTATTTTAGTTGAGCATAAAGTAAATTAATTCTATTCAGTCTGGCTTTGTTTGTTATAAGATTTATTTATAAAATCCAATTATAAACACAAACGAGAAACTTTATTTGTGTTTTATTTAACTCTAACCCTTTACACGGGCCAAATATTGTTGTAAGATAATCAATGGAAGATTGAGAGATAATTTAAAATATTAAGGGTGGTCTCTTTTTTTTACTCTCATCATAGTAACAAAAAATAATGAAAGAATAAATTTACAAAACAAAGTTGGTCATAATACAAATAATAATGAGACTACGTTCAATGTAAACTGGTACATGCACTTTCCTATTAAAGTAAAGAGCTTCCAACATGAAAAGAAAACTAGGTTCTACAGAAAATATATCCAAGTTATTAAAAAATATATAAGATTATAAGAGGGAAAGAAAAAGTGTGAGAATTATTCCATGATTTAATGGATACTACCTAATAGTATGGCACAGAGCCCGAGACTTCTGCACATCGAAGGGGTTTTCCTGGTTTAACATCGTAAACGTTATTTATATTCCAATTTCTTAGCTCCATTTATTGTTTAAATGAAATAAATATTTCAAATTTTCAGATAAAACTGGGCACAAAAAATATAATAATAAGTGATAAAAAGAAGACGTCTTTTCACACGAGAAATATCTTCAGACATTAGTTACATATAATTACAACTTCCATTCTCTCCTCATGTCCCTCGTGCGCTATGGCAGAAGTTATTAGGGGTACAATAGTGGCAGATGTAGGAGAACGGTCATTTGTGTTATACAGAGCTTTTAAATGTCCAACCCTGGTTACGGATTAAACAAAAGCAGGCTGTCGGAGGAATCAATCAAGACAATTAAAGAAAGAAAGTGATTGAGAGGGGGTGAGTGAAGGAGCAATACCTAGACAAAGGGAGTGAACGGTAAAGAGAAACATAAATTTTCTCTGATTTAACAATGTTTTTTATTTCGTGAATAATACTCTTAAATTTTGTAATGTTTATATTAATTCTTTTGCCTAATTTATATATTCTTTTACTTGTGATCTGATTTCGGTTTATATGACAACAAAAAAACACTTATTTCTTTAACATCTTTAACGTTTCCTGTTATCGTCTCTTTCTCAAGATTTTAATGATTAAAACAACTATAAAAACAATAACGTGGTATGTAAGAACTGAAAAATATATTCATACATAATTGCATAGGTAACATAAAAAAAATCATTTTAGTGCGAAAATTTACCTTCAAGGAGGCATGAATTCTTTCATCTGTTTTATAGGCAGATTTTTGGAATAATATGTGAAACTGTTTACCCTTGAACTAGTCGACATTGTAGTGAAAGAGTTAATAGTTTCCAATCTGAATAAATTAAAATTCACCCCCTCCTTTTTTGTTTGTATATGTTGATGACATAAAACACCGGCCCCAGAAGATAGAATTTCACGTATGATTGACATATTCATTAATTCCTACATGAGACTTAAGTTTACTCAAGAAAAGTGAAGGATAGTCCTTTTCTGTGTCTTGACACGAAAATTACAAGATGAAACAATGGATCAGTTATAACAAGATGGTTTTGCAAAGCATTGGCACCAAACGGATTAATCAACTACAAATCCATTAACCCTTGGACAAAAAAATTAAATGTAGCAGTTGGACTTATAAAAAGGATTTTTAATTTAAGGTCAGGAGTCACAAGATAGGATAAAGAAATGTGTGATGTTTAGTGATCGTTAGCCAATGATTTAAATTTGGTTTAAAGATTTAGTCTATCAGATATTTGGTTTTTGATTTTTTTTTTAAATTGCCTTATCCATTGATATCCAGTCAAATTAAGTTTAAGTGACGGTTAATGAGGCACCCAGATTGCTCAAGTCCCACGTCCCCCGACAGCCAGCCAGCCCTCAGAGGGGAAGGGGAAACCTAAACTCCTCATAAAAAATATTTTTATGGTGTGACCCTTGGGGATATGAATAAAAATCGTTTACATCGAAATTCCTATGGAAAAGTCCGCATCCCCTAGATTACAGCAGCTAACATGCCCGTTTCACACGAACCACCCTCGCCAGGCCCCAACCCGGCCAATAAGACAACTTAAATTTCCAGATTATTAGTTCATACCGCCTAAAACTGGTATACAGACGGCTCCTTGATCAACTATTGGTCAGGAGCTAGTATCTGTGTAAATAAACTAAGAACTACAATATATACAACAATTAATTAAGGTTTTTAGTTGAGATAAAAAAGTCAATGGCACGATCGGGATTCGAACCCACGATCTTCGGCTTGATACGCTGCTGCTCTACCATTTGAGCTATTGTGACCTCGATCCACTCGGACACCAACTTCCCATCTCAACCACACCTTTTGAATTTTCCCTCCTTTTTGTCATTTTTCAAATGTCATGTAATCAATTTGATTCTCGGCGACAAATGAAATGGCCACAGAGAGCTTTAGTGAAGGATACTTCATTTTAAACTTATTCAATTCATTAGTTTCGTGGTCTGCTTGACCAATTAATATCATACAATTAATTAAGGTTTTTAGTTGAGATAAAAAGTCAATGGCACGAGCGGGATTCGAACCCACGATTTTCGGCTTGATACCAGCGGCGTATTATTCACGAAACTAGTGAATTTAATATATACAACCTTGGCAATATGCTGTATTTCATGGGGACCGTAGCTATTACTGTGCCAGGCAAATCACATTATTGGGGGAAAATAACAAAATCATTCTTGTTTGGTTACCAGCTATTGAAGGCATCGTTAAAGAAAACTACCTTGATATTAAAGCAGTCACAGCACAAGAATACAAGTTGGCCGATTAATTGACCAAGGAAAGTTCAATGAAGATACCTATAAGCCTATGCAGCATACCAAATCGCCAAAAATGTAGATCCGTCTAACAATAAGTTCAATTGGATTATATTCCAAGACAAAAACATGCAAAAAAGTTCTTTAAAGGACCATCTAAGGCTAGTGGCAGATCGAGGATGTGTAAAGGCTAAAATGATAGGACTGCATATTGCAGATTCTGGAGTCATATATATATATATAAAAGACTCCGAACAGCAAAACGCCTGCGCATTTATAGCCAGGAGGGAGAAGAAACTGTGGAACATGCCCGGGGTAGGAAGGCCTTTTTGAGCTGAATTTCTTCTATGCTGGGAGAGGAAAAGCCACTGCCTGAAAGTACACGGGAGCCTTTAATATTAACTTAAGCTTTGGGATCTGATAAAAGGCCTTATGCTTAATCAAGAACTCTAGACAAAGTAGAATAGACCAAAATTGGTTTCGGTGCGCATGGTCGTAATGATTTCTTGACAAGAGAATTTTTAAGCAAGGCAATTTATTAACAGATTCAATGTTAAATCCAATAATCTAGATAATTTCATGTTGTATTTGTTCCATGTTGACTCCACTCTTGATATTTTCAGTTATCCAATTTGGCCAAATTGCTAAGTAGAATTTGGTGGGTAATTTTTGGAGATTTGATAGCATAAAAAAGGATTCTTCTTTGATGATTTTCCAAATTATCTATCAATTATCTTTATCCTTGGTGTTTAATAATTGATAGTCTGCAAAAAATTGTTACAATATTGGATAAGTGATATACTTTAATTGCAATAATAATATTATACAAATTATATCTTTCTAATATATATCAACCAAGTGTTTTTGTCATTAATGTTTGAATGCCGTGAGAGTGAATGAAACTGCTTTTCTTTAAAATAAATTGCTTAAAGTACAGAAAACCATTTCAAATAAAGGTATGAATGAAAATTGAGTGTTCGCTAGATTTTTAATTTCAGGTTTAATATCTGATATGTAAGTAGTTATTTAAAATATGATGTACTATCGAGGAGAAAATACATGGATTTTATATTCTTGTAGAGAGAAGCTCGAGGATCCGTGACTTTCAAGATAGTACCGTCTTATAGGAGTGCACCACCACCTTGTGAGGTACAAGTAAGACCAAGTTCTATTTACCCCTGCATTAACAGTTACAAAAACAGAGATTCCCTTGATTGATCGGAGCAAATTTACAGAAAAAAAAATTGCCCTGATCAGCTGAGGGTCTGACACAAAACAAAATATAATTCTAATATTAAGTTACTTTTAAAAAATTGTACAATTTAGTTTTTTTTTAATTAAACATCATATATAAAAGAATAACATAATAATACGAAGAAAAAATAATAATAATCTGCCTCTTTGCTATGGTCCAAGTGTTTCCAGCAAATAGCACCTTTGTAGATGTAGGTTTACCTTTAACCCTTTGAGTATGGAAATAATGATAAAAAAATGTAGTATTATTTGAAATATTTTCAAACAGAAATTTCAAATCTGTGTTTAAAAAGGCTTTGTAGTCAATTGGCGAGCGACCCACATTCACCCCTCTCGTATTCAATAATAATCATTAATGATATTGAGACATCAAATACATGTAGCCTTGATGTAGAAACGCCAATTTGTGATTGAAATTCTCAAATGTTGAAAAACTACATTATATGCTGTTGGTTACCAACTAAAAATGATGGTTTGTTTTCTGTTTCTTCATTAGAACGAAAACCATCCTGCATTTTATTTGGTAACAAAACTCAACAACTAATGAAATATGTATGCTCAGTTTTGAATATATAAATCGGTCGTAGATTTATGTGACCATAAATTTTTATGTATTTGTGCTATTACTAATGAATAATTTACAGGTGGAGATTTATAATTATTTTTGTCTTTTTCTTTTAAGTTTTTGCATATTGCAGTTATGTTAGCTTTAAATTAATGTTTTGCTTTGTTGTAAGAATGTAATGTCTTTTTTTCTTTTTTTTGCTTTTTTTAATGATTATAGATTTGTTTGAACGCTGTATGTCGAAATAAAAATTTAAATTTTCTTTATTTGTATAATTTATTTGTTAATTAGACTGTTTGCTAAGCATGGAATTTTTATGCACGTTGCATTTTTATACACGTGATTTTGTATGAGAATGCTTTATTAGATTTTTTAATTATTTTTTGTAAGTGATTTTTTTTACAGTAATTAAATCCATGTGTTTTGAATGAATTAGGATTTTGTGTTAATTTCTTAGTTAATTAGGAGTATCTAATGCACCCTAAATTAAAAATACAAGCCAGTTAAGAATAATTAATTAACTACTATTATTTGCTCACTCATATTCACGAATTTGTTGACGAGAAGGTCAAAACATGCGCATGTGCGGAAACGGACGTACATCGCATTTATCTCGTTAGCATGGAAAACATAACTTTGCTTTACTAAAAAAACGCAAAATAATTCTATCAATGGAGCACGTTCGAACAAATTAACACTGCTAACAGCAAATAACTCTATTTTCATATACGTCAAGCATTGGCAAAATCTTTTGGACAAAACTGATTAATGAAAAAAAAATAGTAGCAAAATAATCTCCATTGCTTCTTATATTTTTTCGTCAAAGTAAATATTTTGTATTTTTGTTTTTAAAAAAAGTCTCGTCAATTTTTCTTAAATTTTTAGTCACATATTGTTATAAAATGGGAAAAAAAATTAAATAAGTACCTGCTCACTGAAATAGATTTGACATAATATACCGAACACAAACAAAGAAACTTTGTCATATTACGATGGCAAATTTGGGCATATAATATACTTGCTCACTAAAATTTGACTTGATTTTTAGAAGTATGTTGAAAAAAGGAATTATAACAAAAGAAATAATGTAATTATAATAATTATTTACTAAAAAAAATTGTATTAGGCTCTTTGGAAATATCCTTGGACGTGTTGCTTGCTTTGGGCACAGATTCGAAGACGACGGACTTGAAACTGTAAGTTTGAAAAGAAAGGCACAAAACTAATAATATACAAAAAATTAAGCAAAAAGAAAAATTACCATCTTCAAAGTCAAGGTGTCTTCGCCTTCTTGGACGTTCATCTGCCTATGACTACCAAAGTCCTGGAACCCATTCATACTTGGATCTATAAAACAAGGAATTTAGGTTTGCAAAGAAAGACACAAAATCTAATAAAATACAAATTTAAAAAATTTATAAAGAAAAATTACCATCGTGAGAAACAAGGGGTAAGCGCCTTCTTAGTCGTTCATCCGGGGCCGGCCTCAGCCCAACTAGAACTCATTCATAAAAGGGAATCGGAGTGTTATCCGAATCGCAATAAAACATGACATACATATTCTTACTTTGACATAAAAATTAATTAAAATAACGGTTAAATTACAATCTTGAGAATTAAAGCGTCTTCATCATCTTGATCGTTCATCCGGGGTCGGATTGACACTTCGGTTAAAAGTTAGTATCTCTCGGTAGGATATCTAGTTTGAAAGGTCAAGATTTACTGAAAGCAAAGAATCAACCGGGCCTCTGTCGGAGCTTGAAGAGCAGAGAAATCAACTTGGCGTAACATCTAAACCGGTCATGCAATTGGTTATTTACAGATTTCTGTTTTCTACAGTACAAGTTTTCTTCTAAAAATATTAACGTTTTTGTCCCTTTTGGGGGTCTCGTTTTCTATTTGAATAATATGCAAAGATATTTGTAAAGATTCAATCATTTAAATAATTTGGCCATTTTGGTCTGCCTGGGGGTTGGTGAAAACGTGGAAACGCGTCTGACAATCCAGACAAACGAGGATAGGCAGATCAAATTTGATCAGTAACGGCCAAATTTCAGGTTCATCACCCCCCGCAGACAGCATTGAGAACCTCTATTTTTATGATAATAAATCTTGATAGAGGTAGATAGATTTTATAGTATGAGGTTTGTTCCATAACGCAATCACAAACTTGTTGCCAACTAATCCGTGATTTTATGACTGACCATGCTCGAACCAATCACTGATAAACAGATCACCAATTCCTAACTTTAACTTACTTAAGAACTCTGATGGAAACACTTTATTCCAATCTCGGACAGTTTAGGCACCGAAACGTTTGAAATTGGAAATTGACTTTTTGTCAATATAGATTTATGTATTATATTTAATGGATGTGGAGTTCTGGCAATCAGCGGCGAAAATTGGGTTAAATTGTGTTCTCAAAATTGTAACATTTTAAAAATAGTTTATAGCTCTAATAATGAACATCATGTCAATAACATAAATGATATTGACTGTTCCTCCCTTCTAGAATTTATCAATTTTTTGCTCTTCCTATAATAAATACACCACATAGAACTTTTTTATTGCATATCATTCAACTAAATTTGGAGAACCCTTCATGGATGGCCAATAAATTCTTCTATATTTGTTTTAATGCTTTTATTTATTTTTTTAATTTATCACTAGAAAGATAGGTTTTTATTTATGAAAATTTAAAAATGTATGTTATTTCAAATAAATTAATGGTTCATTTCTTCTAATTCTATTTGTATTAACTTGTCATCTTATACATTATTTTTAATTTATTTTTTTGTCAAAAAAAATATACATATTTATATTTTATTTCATGTATAAATCTGGTCCCTAATTAAGTAAGAACTTGTAATTTGACATGAGCAAAACGCCGAGAAACATGAGAGCATGTATCGGGCTGCCAGTCCCTAGTAAAATACTCGGTCTGTTTTGATGGTCGAAAACCAGTCATAAATCTGGTCTGAAAACGTGATGGATCAGCCAACTGACAGTTTGCAACGGTTTGGACACGTGATGGAACAAACGTATTATAAATTGTGAGATTTTCTTACTTTGGAAACCTATTGCTAATAACAGCCATTTAAATTTATTGAATTTGGATTTATCTTTGCTGAAGAGCTTGTAAACCGGTCATTATTTTCCATGAGAGGGGGGAAGGTTCGTTAAAGCGATTCCCTCATTCATTTTTTCGTGTTTTTTTAAGCTTTTAGGCGGTAACGAGGTAAAATAAGAAGGATGACCTTTCAAACTGAAAAACGATGTTATGGCGATAAGGGTTCGGAAAAATTGCCCTTTCCGATTTGAAAAATACCCCGAGTTCCACCAAACAGGGATAGGAGCTTGTTTTCCAGTATAGGCATATAAATAACAAAAACAAGTATTTATGGATAATCCGAAGGTAAGAGACTTCAAGATCTGCTCCGGTGAGTACAATCCAATATATACGTATGTTTGTTAATTGCAAAATCCACGATTAATTTGGCATGTAACAACGACATAAAATATTATTTGCATGAAGTTGATAGGCTGGAGAGTTGATGGAACCTGAATTGATGATCGTCAGAGTACAGAGGCTTTATACCTATCCTGGTTACTAATCCTGGTTTGTTTCGAGCAAAAATTGAATCTTGAACGCCATCAGTCTTCGTGTAATTTCATTTTGTCTGATCAAAACTGGCTTCATATTTTTCTATCGGATCCAATCTTCACTCATCAACTCCATTTTTACTTGACGAATCAAGGCCAGCGTTGAAGCCGAGGCAAATCAATACCATTTCATATAAAGGAGCGCCTATAATCAACCTATATCAAATGGTTTAATCTTTATAAAAAGATAGTTCCTACTCACAGTCAGACCCTGTTAAAGAATGTATAAAACTTATAAAACAAAAACTTATGGAGAGTTCTATTAACATATTTTTTTTAAATTACGTAATAGACCTCTTAATGCTTACTATCTAATTATTTAAATAAATTTCATGAAATGAAAGGGGATAATGGGGTCTCCATTATCCCCACTTTGTGCTGGAATATTCATGGATTATTTTGAAAAATTCTTTTCAAAACAAACAACAAATCAATAAAATCTGTTCTTTCTTTGAAACGCTATATAGACAATAAAAACTAACAATCTTTTTATAAAGATTGAACAAAATACTCACTCCACCATTTATCGTTTCTATCTTTTATGGTTTGTTAATCGATTGTGTCCCCATAACGATCCTTTTAAAGAAATTTCATAAATATTCGGAACTATAAGTTCAAATAATCTTCAATTCATAGTAGGGTGATGGAGAAATAGCCAAAACCATAG